TTTACCTATAATCTTAATAGAATTACCTCATTATACCTCACACTTATACGTGTTCTCGTAGCTTGTCATAGAAGACTCTCGATATTAAACCATTCTCTACATCCTGAATTCTTCATATATAACTTGTTTACTATATCGGGTGGATACTATATTATATTACAGAGTTCAAAAATACTCTATATAAACTTTTCTACTCCTGGAAATAACTTTTATTTATCCTTGAACTTTTATTCTTTCGTAAAAGTTTTTTCCTCATTTGGTCTAAATTTAATCTTGCCAGACTTAAATTGTTCGGAAAATTGTCTATTCGTGTATCTTATTTAAGTATCCGCAACTAATAGTAACGATTATCATTAGGATTAAGGAACTCTATACTAGAATAATTAAGAAACTTAAACCGTCGACAGTTGTTTTCTATTTTAAATCCAATTTTTACATTAAATCACGTCATTTAATGACAAATAAATGGGATACTAACCTACATGAGATCGTTTATTTTTTTGTACAACTTGTACTCGAGTTTATGTACTAATTCTCTTCTCTTATATCTTATCCTTGTTATTAAATAGTCTACGATGAGATTCTAAATTAGAATTTAATTAGGTGGGATGATAAAGTTAGTTCGATGACGTTTATGACAGACAGAATTACAAAAAAAAAGGAAACAATTAATCGATTTTAAATTAGATTTTTGGTACTTTTTAAATAAGTAGACGAGATTTTGGCCGAAATCTTCCACTCGAAATAATGGTCAATATTATATTTTTGCTGATTTTTCAGTTTTCTTTCGAGTATTTTTATCAATTTTTTTTTCCTTTTTCATCCATAAACAAACTGCTGATTTTAAAAATATAATTATTCTATAAACTTAAACATCTTATATATAATGATACTGTATTTTTATATAGTTCGGATTAGTTAAATATATAAATTTTCATTAACAATATGTAGAAAATTTGTATATTTTCCGCAATAAATTTTTATATTAAATATAAAAAAATTCCTTTTTTTTTCTTTTCTAAATCTTACTTGCTGGAAGAAACAGCAGTAGATATTTGTGTAAATTAAATTGCATTTTTAGTTTTTTTTTTTTAATTTTTACGCGTGATAAAGTAATACCTAATTAATTTCTTGTTCAGAACTGAAGATAATAAACAATCAAATTTCTTTCCCTTTTTTCCCACTCGGAATGAATGGGATTTGGCAATGATAAAATTAAGTAGAGAGAGAGAGAGAGAGAGAGAACAAACGTCTTAAAAACTCGAGAAATCATTACAGTAGCTGTTATTAAAATTTTAAGTAGACAATTGAAGAAATTTGTTCGCTTGGTCGAGTTTACTTTGAAAAGTTTCACTTTTAAGAAAGGACGGTATACAATAAGATACGGATGCTACCCAAAGGCAGTATTTTACTAATCACGAGACTTTTTCCAACAATGAAATCCATTCAACTTGAATAGCAGCTTCTTGACCAAAGAATTCTGTAACTAACTACCGTGAAATACGTCAGCTAACATCCTCCCCCTCACGCGTTTTCAAGCGTGACATCATTCACCAATTTCAGTCTTAGTCTGACGTCATTTTTACGTGATTTAGCGAAAACAAGCTTCCCACATACACACACAAAAAAGACTCTATTATTCTACAGATTCTTTCTTTGTTTTATATTTAAGAATTCTTCTTAATTTTCTCCTCTAAGGCAAACCGTAGAAACATTTTAATTATGAAAATTGCCTTTTAGATAAAGAAAATGACTTTCGTTTGTTTACGGAATAGATGTCATGAATCTGTGTTGATGCCATGATTTCGTGTTTTACATAGGTGACGGGTAGAACTGGTTCAACTGCAATGTACAGGTGAAGAATGTAGAAACGTTATCATAATTTTGCTTGTATCTAATTATTAAATACGTTTGATTTAATGCAATAAATAAAATGGATTAAAAAATAGACGTGTTTTTATCGTTTTAATGGGTCTAAAAAGATTAAATTCATTCACTTCACCAGGTCAAAATGTCAGCAACTTAACAGGTGAGTCTCCCCAGACGTTATAAGGTCTTGGGAACGGAAATTACAACAGGAGTCTTGCCATAAAAACGAAAATTATAACAGGAATATCTAGTCAAAAAAGGAGGAAATAAACAGTATTTAATTCACGTTTCTTATTAAATATTCTTTATTATAATTTTTTTTTGAAAATGTTTCAAGAAAATTTACATTTTGTAAATACTTAAATGGGGGGAAAAAAAAATTTTTGCCTCTTTATTTATTAACTTGTTTGTTCTAGTTAAAGTAGGTGAAGTGCTCGATAACTTGGAATATATTGCAAAATTCTGTTTACAGTTAATTCTTACGAGAATAATTTTATTTTTATATTTAATGGAATAAATAATATAATTAAGTACACTTTTCTATGATGTGATACTATTTATTTTCTCGTATTTCATCGATTTAATAGCAAAATAAGCTTTAATTTTAATAATAATAATAATTATTATTATTTTCTTATGTCTGTATTCAAATATTATACACCTATAAAAGTTTATTGGCATTTTTATTTAATAAATAATTTTACTTTTAATTCATTCGGTCAATTCTCATACAGCTTGAGGGGCCTTAAGTAGTAAGTAGTTTTCAAGTCATATTAAGTTCAGGAGCATTTAAAATTATGGTTATTTTTAATTTAGTATTTAAATTTACACTTTTATTTATTCGAAGCACTCTAGGTGAGGAGTACTGTATATATAGGGCCTTCTATGCGTGTGACCCTAAGCGATGGTTTGTATTTGATAGAATACGGAAACTCAACGTTGTTATGGCTATCTGCCAAGGAGGGAGGAACTATTTACGTGTTTCAGACGTGGAGGAAACCCGGAAGGGTCGAATCCGAGAATAATTATCGATGTTCAATGGTTTTTATACATTCAGTCAATGTAAGAAATGGGATTTCGCCTATATTTAGAACTAGGGCCGCCGAGAGCATGATGAGATGCGGGTTCCACCGAGGTTCCATTTATAATTTTCTTGAACAGATGAAATAAGTACAATGTTTCTTTATTAATAAAATCTAGTATTAAGGATTTTTAATAATTTTTTTAAAAGTAAAAATATCATTATTTTATAGGGATAGGAACCATTATAACCGCAAAGGTTTTCAGGGAAAAATCCAGCTCTTCCCCCTCTCGACATCCCTGTTTATAAGCCCTAGTATAAATAATTTAAATCTTAAATGAATTAACTGATTGTAAAAGTATTTACGTATGAATTTATACATAATATATCCTATATATACACACCTAATTAATGTTTTCTTTCTATAACTAGCAAACAGCAAAATCAAATCACTCCTTAAAACAACGAAAAATTAAATGGATAATTTAATATTAATTTCTATTTTAATAATATAATTTTCTAGTTTACTAAGCGCTTTCGGTTTATAATAATTGCTTACTATAATCATTTGAACAGTGTTCGTCCCCCCCTCTCTCTCTCTCGAGACAAATAATTTTATAATTAATGCAATTCATCTCAGTTTAAACGAAGGTTAGCATTTTATAATAAAATAATAAAATTTGTAAAATATTAAAGATTATAATCTAAAATTTAAAAAAAAATAAATAAATAATAAACGACAGCACAGATTTTATCACGTGTGCGATTATAATACGCTATTAAATATTAATTTTCTGTTTTCTCCAAATTTTAATAGGTTTAATAGACTAAACATGTGTTTAATGGCCACGTGTTAGTGTCAACACACATTAATAAACACAGGAAACAATGTTAATGTATATTAAAGTCACGTTTATTGATTATAAAATGTTATATTTAATTATTTTAAACGTTTTTTTTTCTAGCGATAAAAACGTTATAATTTCTACATATTTTAGATTTATTTCTCTAACTTTATGTTATATAATGATACTGTATTTTTATATAGTTCGGATTAGTTAAATATATAAATTTTCATTAACAATATCTAGAAAATTTGTATATTTTCTGCGCAATAAATTTTTATATTAAATATAAAAAAATTCCTTTTTTTTTCTTTTCTAAATCTTACTTGCTGGAAGAAACAGCAGTAGATATTTGTGTAAATTAAATTGCATTTTTAGTTTTTTTTTTTTAATTTTTACGCGTGATAAAGTAATACCTAATTAATTTCTTGTTCAGAACTGAAGATAATAAACAATCAAATTTCTTTCCCTTTTTTCCCACTCGGAATGAATGGGATTTGGCAATGATAAAATTAAGTAGAGAGAGAGAGAGAGAGAGAGAACAAACGTCTTAAAAACTCGAGAAATCATTACAGTAGCTGTTATTAAAATTTTAAGTAGACAATTGAAGAAATTTGTTCGCTTGGTCGAGTTTACTTTGAAAAGTTTCACTTTTAAGAAAGGACGGTATACAATAAGATACGGATGCTACCCAAAGGCAGTATTTTACTAATCACGAGACTTTTTCCAACAATGAAATCCATTCAACTTAAATAGCAGCTTCTTGACCAAAGAATTCTGTAACTAACTACCGTGAAATACGTCAGCTAACATCCTCCCCCTCACGCGTTTTCAAGCGTGACATCATTCACCAATTTCAGTCTTAGTCTGACGTCATTTTTACGTGATTTAGCGAAAACAAGCTTCCCACATACATACACAAAAAAGACTCTATTATTCTACAGATTCTTTCTTTGTTTTATATTTAAGAATTCTTCTTAATTTTCTCCTCTAAGGCAAACCGTAGAAACATTTTAATTATGAAAATTGCCTTTTAGATAAAGAAAATGACTTTCGTTTGTTTACGGAATAGATGTCATGAATCTGTGTTGATGCCATGATTTCGTGTTTTACATAGGTGACGGGTAGAACTGGTTCAACTGCAATGTACAGGTGAAGAATGTAGAAACGTTATCATAATTTTGCTTGTATCTAATTATTAAATACGTTTGATTTAATGCAATAAATAAAATGGATTAAAAAATAGACGTGTTTTTATCGTTTTAATGGGTCTAAAAAGATTAAATTCATTCACTTCACCAGGTCAAAATGTCAGCAACTTAACAGGTGAGTCTCCCCAGACGTTATAAGGTCTTGGGAACGGAAATTACAACAGGAGTCTTGCCATAAAAACGAAAATTATAACAGGAATATCTAGTCAAAAAAGGAGGAAATAAACAGTATTTAATTCACGTTTCTTATTAAATATTCTTTATTATAATTTTTTTTTTGAAAATGTTTCAAGAAAATTTACATTTTGTAAATACTTAAATGGGGGGAAAAAAGAATTTTTGCCTCTTTATTTATTAACTTGTTTGTTCTAGTTAAAGTAGGTGAAGTGCTCGATAACTTGGAATATATTGCAAAATTCTGTTTACAGTTAATTCTTACGAGAATAATTTTATTTTTATATTTAATGGAATAAATAATATAATTAAGTACACTTTTCTATGATGTGATACTATTTATTTTCTCGTATTTCATCGATTTAATAGCAAAATAAGCTTTAATTTTAATAATAATAATAATTATTATTATTTTCTTATGTCTGTATTCAAATATTATACACCTATAAAAGTTTATTGGCATTTTTATTTAATAAATAATTTTACTTTTAATTCATTCGGTCAATTCTCATACAGCTTGAGGGGCCTTAAGTAGTAAGTAGTTTTCAAGTCATATTAAGTTCAGGAGCATTTAAAATTATGGTTATTTTTAATTTAGTATTTAAATTTACACTTTTATTTATTCGAAGCACTCTAGGTGAGGAGTACTGTATATATAGGGCCTTCTATGCGTGTGACCCTAAGCGATGGTTTGTATTTGATAGAATACGGAAACTCAACGTTGTTATGGCTATCTGCCAAGGAGGGAGGAACTATTTACGTGTTTCAGACGTGGAGGAAACCCGGAAGGGTCGAATCCGAGAATAATTATCGATGTTCAATGGTTTTTATACATTCAGTCAATGTAAGAAATGGGATTTCGCCTATATTTAGAACTAGGGCCGCCGAGAGCATGATGAGATGCGGGTTCCACCGAGGTTCCATTTATAATTTTCTTGAACAGATGAAATAAGTACAATGTTTCTTTATTAATAAAATCTAGTATTAAGGATTTTTAATAATTTTTTTAAAAGTAAAAATATCATTATTTTATAGGGATAGGAACCATTATAACCGCAAAGGTTTTCAGGGAAAAATCCAGCTCTTCCCCCTCTCGACATCCCTGTTTATAAGCCCTAGTATAAATAATTTAAATCTTAAATGAATTAACTGATTGTAAAAGTATTTACGTATGAATTTATACATAATATATCCTATATATACACACCTAATTAATGTTTTCTTTCTATAACTAGCAAACAGCAAAATCAAATCACTCCTTAAAACAACGAAAAATTAAATGGATAATTTAATATTAATTTCTATTTTAATAATATAATTTTCTAGTTTACTAAGCGCTTTCGGTTTATAATAATTGCTTACTATAATCATTTGAACAGTGTTCGTCCCCCCCTCTCTCTCTCTCGAGACAAATAATTTTATAATTAATGCAATTCATCTCAGTTTAAACGAAGGTTAGCATTTTATAATAAAATAATAAAATTTGTAAAATATTAAAGATTATAATCTAAAATTTAAAAAAANAAAGAGTTATTGAGTTCATTAGCCGATCGTTCTAACCTTCCTCTCGCATACTGGACCACATATAAAAACCGTCCTGTAGGCAACAAGACTTGCGCTCGCTTTCCCAGCCTATACGAATTAGAGTTTAATAATATCTACTGGCAAACATTACGCACTTCTAACGGCACTTTCTATCTTTATGGTGCCTATTACGATGATAGATGGAGAGCCGGTGGCATACCCATTGTAAGAATATTAGGAATGGTAGATAAAATCAAACCACTCCCAACCACTTGTCAGCTTTGGTTCGATGGGATGAAAACTGCCGTTTTCTCTCCAACAACCTATACTTACGGTTGGTACAGTAAATGGGGCAATTATAAAGATGGAATTTTGCAGCCTTTTATCATCTCTTGTAAAATACCGAAGAAGGAATCGGGTGGTAAAGTACCATCTTCAGTATCTTTGGTCGAGCACAGATGTGATAAACCAACCACAAACTTACGAGTGATCAACAATCGACCGAAAGTAAAAGAAAACTTCGCTGTCTGCGTGAAAGGTCTGGATTTTCTCCATCAAGACTTGAGTGTACGATTAGTGGAGTGGATCGAGCTCCTGAATATTTTAGGAGCACAGAAAATCTTTCTGTACGAGCTAGAAATACATCCCAATATCTCTAAAGTACTGCACTATTATAAGAAAATGGGTCTGGTAGATCTGACTCCCATTACTTTACCCGGAAATCAGCCAAATATACCGGGATTCAGACACTTTTATCTGAAATCTAAGCTGACTCACAAAAGGCAAAATGAATTGATTCCATATAACGATTGCTTATACAGGAATCTTTACTCATATAGTTACGTAGTTTTATTAGATACGGACGAAATAATTATGCCAATTAAGCATAAAAACTGGAAAGATTTAATGGACGATGTTGTTAAATTGGCGCTAAAGGAGAAAAATTATACACGAGCTAGTTATAATGTCCGTAATGTTTATTTTCTGGACGATCTCCAAGATGGCGACGAATTGACTCATGTAGCACACGAACATGGTATACCCCGATATTTTCATATGCTGCAACACGTCTATCGATCGAAAAATTTTACTAAACCGGGCGCTTACGTTAAATGCTTCCACAATACGGAGAGAGTAGTATCTTTGCATAATCACTTCCCACTGAATTGTTTGGGGACTTGCACAACTTTCTCCATTAATACCTCTCTGGCTCAGTTGCAACATTACAGGAAAGATTGTGTGGGATCATTAAAAAACAGCTGCAAGACTGACTTTCGAATCCACACCATACGTGACACGATCATTTGGCGCTATAAAGATGAATTAGTGAAAAGAACGGCGAACGTCTTATCGAAATTAGGATTCTTTTCTTAATCATTATCTATCCGAGTCATATTTTTTAGTGATTTTGACTATTCACCGCGTGGTTCCGGTGATGATTTCATGTGGGCAATAGCACGCAAAACAAGACATTCCTGTTTTATGTGCATAAATTTGCAAGTATGTCAAGGAGTACGAAAAGGTGAATCAGGAAGATGTTTTACAGGAAAGAATTTTCAATATAAAAGGACCAGCGTATTTGTAAAGTTGGAAACAAGTGTTCTTTTATTTGTGTCAAACGGGTACAGTTTTTTTTTGTTTGTTTAATTTATATCAAAACATTTTGGTGCCATCTTTAAGTAGATACTGAACATTCCACGAGTGTGTTGAAGGGAAAATGTGAAATAGTAAATTTTTTTTTAACTTTTATTCGTATTTAAAATGAGTTCCTGTAGTCACCAACCGATAAATATCACTCATAATTCGAATAAAATGACGTATTTTATACGAAACAACTCATCCATTCAAATTGGCCCGATAAACTTCAGTTTATGAAGTGTAGGTGAATCGAACAATTAAAATCCCTACTGATTAATTTGTTATGATTCGCCTCTCCCAAATTTCCTCGTATTTGTGCCTATAAAACCTTATCATTCTTAACGTCAATCTGTGAATTCGATGTGAATAAAACCGATTTCTTAACAGTATGTATGCGTTTTCTTTCATAAAACAAAAGAACAAAAGTATGAGATAAGCCTCTTTTTTTTTTCTTATCAAGAAACTTATTCATACCAACCATTACCAGTTCTAAAAAGTTTCTAAAAATCTGTATTTGTTAAGTGAGTTCACTTCTAATCGTAAATTCTAACATATATCTAGATCGATATCAATCTCATTGAACATTGGAAATATTATAGCTAAGGGTGAACGACTTCTACTTGGTGAAAATTACGTTTCTCAATAGCCAAAACAATAGAATTTCTCCCTTTTATCTTCTGAACCCTTTCATGGGCCTAAATATTAAAAAAAAAACAACAACAATTGCTCGTTATTTAGATATATAAAACGGAAAAAATGGGTGTTTTTCGAGATAACAATTAATCATTTCCGCATTATTAATGATTAACAATTATCTCAACAGAGTGATAGCCCACAGAATGGTCACTATCAATATTTTTTTTGTCAGTGAAGCTTTATCTACAGACATTTAACAAATGTACAGAGTTTTAAAGAGGAATTTGATTAATGGTTAGCTAAACGATAAAGTTTAAAAAATTTACGTAAAATATATCTTACTTTTTACAGTATACAACAATCATTAAATATATAATAGCTTAGTAAATCTTTTTATAACATTTAAGAAGTTTCAAAGGCAAGATATTATGGACTCTTCCTGTATTTTTAACACATTAAAATGAAGTAAATTCATGTTATACCAGTTACGAGGATCTTATAAACTGGTTTAATGATAAGAATCACTTAAGACATTAAAAATCTTGTCGTAAAATAAATTACATACCTAAATTTACGTTATTAAACTCAATATTGTTCGGATGTATAATTACTTATATATATTTTTTTACTGCGATATTTACGTTATGTGGCATTCTTAAGAGCTTAGTAGCGGTACTTCTCTATTATTTTTAACTCCTCCATTATAAAACATGGGAGGAAAGGAAGAGGATAAAAAAAAATGGTTGTAAAGTTTCCAAAATAAGAAAAATCTACTTTAAAGCCGAATTTTTAAAAAATGTCTTCTTCAATAATCCAAGCTTGCTTAATGGAAATTTTCTGTTTTCTGTTTATTATAGACTTACATTTCAATAGAGTTTATTCTTACTCAAAATTCCTAGAAACGATAAAGAGTAGAGAGAGGGAGGAAGAAGAAGAAGAAGAAGAGGAGGAGGAGGAGGAGGAGGAGGAAAAAAGAATCTAGATTAATTAAAGTTATAAAAGAGAAAAAATCCATTAAGAGATGAACGAGATAAGTTAAAAACAAAACTTTGATTTAATACAGAATTGATGTAAATATGCAGATTTAAATTGATTGAAACTTATCGTTTAAATAAATTGTTCTTATTTAATAAATTAGATTTCTTCTTCTTTTTTTTTTTCATTTGTTTCGTATTAAAATATAACTGAATATATAATTTCCAATAATGCATATGTCTTATCTTTATTAAAGTCTCCTGATATTGAAATTTTTGACAGTTATATGAAAAATATTGTACAAATATTGATTTATGTATTATTTTAAAAAAAAAACTTATAATATTCGGCGTGGATATTGCCTTTTTTCTTCTTCTTTTTTTAAAATCAAAATGTGAAAATTTCCTGAAAAAAATAAGCGGAAATGACGTATTTTAAAATTAACCAATTGACGATTGTTTAAATTCAAATTTAACCAATCAAACGAAACGAAATTGATAATACTTATTTTAAAAAAATGTTAAAGTAATATTATTTTTAATTGAATAATCTTCAAATTCTAAATTTGGCATATTATGTAACTTATATATTATTTACTATAGCACGCAATTATTAACGCTTCAAGTCACACCGTATCAATTCCTATAGCAAAACAGATAAATCCTTAGGATTAACTTCTCGTTCATCATTCATATTTCACGAGCGAAGATGATGTAACACATATTTTGATTTTTATTTTTGTATATATATATATAGAAGTGTATTTAATATTGTACGATGTTACAACCCATTAACCCCTTTCGGGATATAATGAACATTGATCAAGTCAATTCGCCCGTCACGCGAGAATGTCGTTTTTCATTCTTACCTGCACGAACTGGGCGTGAACGGGAGGAATTAAAGATGTTGGAGTGTTGCTGATTCAAAGAGGATTTTCTCCATGTGTTACGCACTTACCTAGCTGTTGATGTGTTGGCGTCGTCTCGTAATAATATCAAACTATTTACGGGATTATTCAATGAATAATCACCGACAAAAATGTTTACTTTTAGCCTTTTTAAGCTCCGAAAAAAATGTATTATTTAACTCGTTTTTCAATTATAAATACTAAAGTTTTAATAGGCCTATATTCAAATTTTATTAACGAATATTTTTAATATAAACAGTGAAAGATAATGGGGCCAGACGAATTTAAGTTAGAGGGCCCTTTTTACCCAGGATAACGCGCCACTGAATGGAAAAAAATCAAATAAAATAAAACGGAAATTAAAAAAAAATGACGTATTTTAAAATCAACCAATAGAACATATGTTACATTTCAAAACGAACCAATAACGCTTCGAGATAGCTATAATATATTTTAAACAGCACGAATAAAGAATTATTTTGCTTGTAAATTTTATTATGTGCTTAATATCGTGCTAAGTAGCAATTTATATCCAGATATATCTTTATATCTTTCTAATAGAGCTGTACGTAAAGAGATATAGATAAAAATTTAGGGGCGTATGCAAAGAACTTAACAAGAGATTCTTAGAAGGTAAGTATTTAGGGAGACACGCCCTTTATTACCATTAAATATACTACTAAATCACACTAAAAACCTTACTTAAATGACACTTTAATCCCTTATTAAACCCTATTTTAGGTGGAATATTAAAAAAATATATAGCGGAAAAAATGGGTGTTTTTCGAGATAACAATTAATCATTTCCGCATTATTAATGATTAACAATTATCTCAACAGAGTGATAGCCCACAGAATGGNAACCCCTATTTTAGGTGGAATATTAAAAAAATATATAATATATATAATGCCGGAAATCAGATTTTTCTATGAAATTTCCTTTATGTTTTACGTATTCAATACGACTTAAAATTGCGTATAAATAATAATATTCAGTTATTATTACTATTATTATTTATTACAGCATTTAAAAAAAGAATTTCCTTCATTTTATATATTTTATATTTCCTCTAACCGACGATTTAACATAATAAAAACTGTATTTTTAAAGAAACTTTTTAGCTTTTCATAACCTTATTTTTAAACGGAAGTAACTAAGAACTTCCTTAAATTCCATTAAGGAATAAGAAAAAAAAAAAAACAAAAAAGTGCTATCAAGATAGAGATGGGATCAATAAATAAAAATCTTTCAACCTCCCCGAAAAATAGAAGAAAGATTTTTATAAATAGGTTAAATAAATAGGTCGGCTTTTTGTTGTATAATTTTGCTTTAGAAATCGCATAAAAAAACCTTTCAGATGCACAATAATTACTAACCCAGACATCTCAAGGCTATTTTGAAACCGGGTTAAGTTTGTATGCTAATTAGAAAGTCAATATCAAGTTTTCTAGTACAGTATAGAATCCTTACTCCAAGGATTTAATAGCCGGTATCGTTTCTTAAATTTTTTACTTTTTTATATGAGAATAATAGCCAAAAAGAAAGAGGGCCTTATAAAGTACAAGTATACATAAAGTAACGAACACACTCAAGGTTTTCTTGTAACAAAAGAATAACATTTTATCGTGTTTCGGAAACCCAATAACACAATGAAACCTTAATGTATGGATAAGAAAGTTCTGTGTTTCGTGAACGTAAACGTGCTATGACTTCAGAAATGCTGCTAAACAACAGAATAAAGCAAATTGTTACTTGGGTGGTGCCTAGACCTATTTAACTTTTAAAAAGTAAAAGAAAAAAAAACTGGTTCGATTTCTTCTGCTGCCTTTATGAGATTTTAATTGTATAGAAGTAGTAAGAATGAAAGCCGGTGGTCATTTAAATAAGAATCACAGCTTGTCTATTTTCTTCTACAATCAATTTTCGTGTAGAGTTTAGAAATTTTTAACACGTTTTACTTAAAAGTCCAGCAACGAGTTGCTTAACTTTCCCGGAAACATTTGAAACTGCATGTGGCGCCATCTGTTGTGACATTTTAGTTTTAATTATTATAAAATAGCACAAAGATTAATTTTGAGGGTAGGGATGAGTTTTATAAAAAAAAATTGTAAATGCTAATAACGAATAATATCATTAAGTCCGACCCTACTCGAGATACGACACAAGACTCCATCTATCTCTCCACTCCCTCGACCTTTAATCACCAAAATTTAACAGAATCGATCCCCCTAATACACAAACCTCCATGCAAAATTTCAAAAATTTTCGACAAAAAGAACGGGAGTTATTAAGCTTCAAAGAGGGTGAATAAAATTCTTTCCCCCATACACATCCACATACACTAACATCCGCGTAGGTTTGCTGGAAGATTCATTTTAATTGTTGTTCCGCCTGAATATTCTCTCCTACTTTAAATTTATTCGCTCATTTAGTTATAATATTAAACATATATTCAGAGATTCCTTATTGATAACACCATTGAGAAATTATCACTACACAACCAAACCATTCAATGTAATCAATTTGTAAAGCTAAAACTCTAATCAAGAATGCACACTGGCTGACTTGTTACATTACAGCAAATACTTTTCATCACATTGTATGGATACTCTATAGTATCAATGGATCTAAATTACATTTAAGCAACAGATTCTAGAATAAAATTGCCAATCTTTTCATCGTTTCATAAAAGAATTTATATATATATAGGTCTATATATAACAGATGAATCGAGAACGTTCGGAAATTCTTCTTTTCCTTTATTTTTTTATCATAAGAACTAATGGTTTTTATGATAGGACATGTAAGAAAGTCTTTTTCTATGGCAGAGATGGAGAGGGGGGGCGGGAAGATGAATTCTCAGAATAATC